TCAAACAATGATTGTCATCAAACGATCCCAGAGAGGTGTCGACTTGTAGAATGCAAATGGTATATACTTATTGTAGAGTCGTGGGAGAACAAGATAAAATGTATAGGTTCAAATACTACTTTTCTTTGGTTTACTTTACACCTGTAAAACACGGAATTTTATTTAATATTACTGGTTCTTACAAGCCATTTAAATCATTTGACTTTTTATCGTGAGTTCAGCCACACATGAGATCTATATTTCAAACAGTAGTAACACTACTGATTAACAATAAAACGAAATAAAAAGGACAATAAATTGGAAAACAAACAAGCAGTAATATGATTCAAAATTCAATTGCGTGTTTCATTGTTGTGCAGTGTACGATTTACAAAACAAAATGGAAAAATAATTAACTACATCACTTTTCTGTTGCAGTTTGAAAATTAAATACATTTTGTATAAGCACTGACAAACAAGTAAAATACACGCTAAAAAATGATGCGTAAAAGTAAGTGCATTGAAGTTGACTCCGTTTCCATATTTGAAACTCATTATGCTTTTTTGTTCGAATTTTTACGAAGAAAATTTCTTGTACTGATTTTTTAACCGCTAAAAATGTCACTCAATGCATGGAATTGTTTCACATTTTGGCATGTCGGTGTCTTTTATAGCCGACCATACGGTATGGGTTTCGCTCATTGTTGAAGGTCGTATGGTGATCTATATTTGCTAACATTCACGTCATTTGGACTCTGATTGTTAGCTGTTTCATTGTCAATCATACCAAACCTTCTTACTACAAAATAGAATAAAAAAATAATTATTATTAAAAATAAATAATCTGATTTCTACAATGAAAAGAGAAAATTAGAAAACTAACTCACAATGAGCGGACAACTCTGAGTGAACATCTATATCAAAAACAAGAAGAAAAACAATCTTTTTAATATTTTGACTAAAAGCTGTTACAATAATTAACAGAATGACGATGGATATTCTTACCCATGAAAATTTACCAATAGTCTTCAAGACCAAAGTAAACATATAGTGTGTTTGTCATTATATGAAAATAAAATAAATAATGAATAAATAAATAAATAAATAAATAAGTATATGCGTGTGTGTGTGTGTGTGTGTTTGTGATGTTAATGATTTTACAGATCAATATAACCATGATAACTTTAACTTTGCATTTATACAACGTCGTTCCCTTCATATATCTGCTGTAAGATAACGTGTTGAAATTGCGTTTGTTATATATCATATAATATGAATGTACAAAGATCTGAGGCTGTTCTTTGTTCAGATCCCCTTGTTACGCATTCTGAAATGAATGAGAGGAAATACCTTTTCACGAACACGATAAGAAAAAGATCAATTATACTGATGCAAACTATTATTTTGAGGATAACGTGATCATTAAATTGTTAAAATATCTGGTTAATTAAGAAATTTAACAAGAACTTTTATAGTAGGAAGGAAATGAGCTTCAACGTATAGAGTTGACATGAAAGTATGTTCACACAGTTCTTCCTACAAAATCAAAGGTTCTTACAGTGTTTTTGATAATTATCATCAATTTTCACTAACTTGCTAGAAATGAATCGGCAAAATTAATCTAGATTAAGGTCTATGAGGAACTTTTGTGTATATATAGAAACATTACAAACTTGTTTTACAGAAAACCCCTACAACCTGCTCTTCTGTTTCTTTTGGTTTTCTTTAAATGATAACATTATATGCTAGATGTAGCTCTGCTTTTATTATATATGATTTTTCAATGTTATCATTACTAGATTTTTTTTTGTTGGAAACGTATATTCGATAGCGTCCATGCAGAGAATGTGTCGCACATTATCTCATCAAGATTACAAATCTTTATCAATTTACGTATCTTTTCTTTGAATCAGGCCAACAATTATGAACTGCAACGCTGTAAAAAAATTTACGGAATGATGTAGCTTTTAAAGTCATATGAACAATATTCTAATGAAATTCAAAACATTCAAATTGTCAGCCTTCCCAAACCAATTATACGCCTATTTCTTATGTGTTCGAATCTATTTTATAACTTATCGTAGCATGACTACTTTTATTTTTTTACTTTATTCACAAAGAATTGTTCCCACTACTATGACTGAATTATAACAGGTACGTTCATTCAAATGTTCTCTTTCGTAATGTTATTAAAGAAGGAATTATTGGAAAATGATGTTTTTCGTAGTCAGCTTAGCTTGACATATAGTTTCATACTTTTGTGGTAAAGATATATAATTCCATATCATTAGCTGCCTTTAGACTTAACAGTGGGATTTAGGTTCACTTATCCAATTATACAAAATTATCTGACGCCATTTGAGAAAACTGCTAAAACCTGAATGGTTGAAATTCTCTCTTTATTGTCTGTCACTTTGTAATATTTCGCGTCACAAAGTGCGGACGGAAAACGACAACGGTGTTAATTTTCCTCTCAGATCGAACATCCCTGAAGACACTGGTGTCATACAAACGTCCATAATGCGCTTTATATTGACAAAGTTTCTTTAATCAGTAGTACTATCCATTGGTGAAGGGTTTAATTTGTATTGCAACAAATGGAGAAAGCCATTAATTCCTAATAGGAGATGATAGAAACTGTCTTTAAGAAAAATATCGACATCAATTGGAGATATGACTCTTACTCTATTTGTAGATTTACAGGTCGATCTTTAAGCTTCTCAAGACGAAATCTTTATTTTATCCTTCGTCACCGTAGATTACGATCCCATCCTTCAAGACGTAATCTTTATTTTATTCAAAGTCTGTTGTAGAGCAAAGGTTGAGTCTTTAGACAAATCTATTTTTTACTTCTCGGCTATTTGTTGATTAAATGTGGTTATATCACTTTCACAAATAGATCTTTATATTATTGTTCTTGATTAAAACGGAATGAAACGTAGGTATTGCGATAGACAGTTTCATCTTGAGGTCATTTTTCATTTGTGTATCTCATACTTAATATCTTTCTTTCATTGTGATGTTAATAACGATATTGGACCCATGTGAATGGATGCAAAGCTTTTAGCATTTGTCACTTTTAACGTAAATAAAAATCAGTTATTTCTTTAAACCAGGTTGATAAATCGTAAATAAAAGATAACCACGATAAATCATGTATCAATAATAGATCATTCTGTACTAGGAAAGGCCATTTCCAAAAATCGTCACCTAAATAAGTGTACATGTCTGTTGTTGAGACTGTTTGCTGGAGTAATCAACAAATTGCATTTAAAATTGGCAAGGTATCCCTATAAATTCATTCATAGGTCGATGCTAAAAGACATTAGTACAAATTAAAACTACTAATTACAGATACAGTGTCACAAGCATCACCAAAGGAATTTGTAGGAGAAATTGATGAACAAAAAACAAACTAAAATGAGCAAAGAAAATGGAAGCTATTCAAAAGTACGTGTACAGCTTTGCATGTCAAATATAGCACTACTAACCGGTAAAACTTTCACGCATTTTAATCAGATATAAAAATATGAAGAGAACGCACAATGAAATAATTGTGCATTCCTTAACCACGCCAAATTCTGCTTCTTGTACATGTCAGATTTACACTCACAAGTCGCACCGACATAAGCCTTAATCTATACAAAAGTTTGAAATTACTGATATTGCATAGGTAAGAAACTTATGCGCATATTGGCGATATCGACTTTAAATAAATGCAAAATTTGACGATATTTAAGCACATGGTGCTAGGGCAGTCTTAAATTTGCAGTAAGGTTAGAGTTTTTGCTCCATGATGAAGAACAGCAATAAAAGCTCTGTTCTGATTGCTTTATTGTGAGCCTGAGTGATTGTGTGTCATGAATTGATACACCATATCCTTTTCTTTAATTTGTGGTCTAATATTGAGTTAAAGCACATATTCTTACGGGTATTGCATATAAAATTATACATAAGAAGTGAACTGGCACATTGTCAATAAAAAAGTAAAATATAATTAAAGTTAACACTTCCATTTTGTGGTAAACTCCATTTAGTGTAGCCCTCTCGAGACGTTTTTGTTATTTTATCGTTTCTTTACTCTCTCATAAACTTATAAACATATCTACTTTTATTTATATCTAAATGTTTGTCGCTTCTTCAATTTATAACAAGCATTTCATTTTCATTTTTATAACTATGTATCATAAAGTTATAAAAGACAACCTTGTTTTTTTTTTATTTAGAATAAGAAAAGTAGAACTATGATGCTGTACATGACATTCATCGTTGACTTGCCATGCAACTCCAGTCTTTACTGAGATATCTCTACAAACAAATGTAATCGTTACATAACAAATGAAATAAACACTTAATTAATTTGGTGCTTCCGTAGCACTTTTCTGGATATACCTTCATTTGGAACGCCCAAATCCAAAAATTGGGAATCCAGTGATGTATAAATACTTGAAATTTGAGGAGCTATATAATCAAAAGGGACCTTAAATGAATAAGGTTTACTTTGTTTTTAAGGATGTATTCTTCTGACGTTTAAGTCTCGTTGAAATCTCGTTCTGGAATTATACCCAAAATGCATCAAAATATGATAAAACTTTCTTATATCAACACCTACCTATAGTTTTTTTAGGTTAAATTTATTCAGATTGGTCCACTTCATCTTTATTGAAAGTATGAAAAAAAGTTTAATTGTGGAACTGTGATTTTTTTCAAAATAAAAGCCCAAAAATGGGTAAAAATTGACGAAAAATGGGAAAATTATCAAAATTGGGTACTTTCAAAGGGCCGTAGCAAAAAAAGAAGTGCACCACCATATGATTTTTTCTTCACCAATTATTTTTTTACAGTCATATAAACCTAAAAATCAGGTAAAGAAAAAAAGGTTAATTCTAGAAATTTTTGGCTCCTCAGAGGTGTACATCCTTAAGGGAGTTGGAACCTGAGTTTCTTACTAATATCTAAATTTATCAAAATATCTTTGCAACATATAACTACTGTATTTTTTAAGTATATTTAGTACTTACCTCTAGCTTTAGCATTGGACATCTTCATTGATTGGCCTATTACTCTTCTTATCAGTGATTCATATCGTGGATCTGGTAAAGTAAGTAGAGAAATCATCCTTTTGTCTCGGGACTGCAGGGAACTTGAAGGGATATCCCCAATGCTTTCTTCGTTGAAAAGATCGCTATCACCAGAATTAATGTATTCACCTTTTGGAATTCTTTTACCACGCAGGGCAAAATAAGGACTTTGTCGTAGCTGCCTTGGGAAAAGTGAAGTACGAGCTTTATACGGTATCGACAGAAGTGAATTTTGACTTTGAATGTCATTTAAAGTCCTGTAATTAGTCCGTTTAGATCTCCCGTCTGCTATAATATCAAGATCATCTATTCTACCACTATCTTCTCCCTGGAAAAAAATCAACTGATTACTTATGATTCAAAAGTGTAAGCTATTTGAATTAATTAACTAATTTCAAACGAAGAGATTACTTATTAGTGGAAAGAGTGAAACAACAGAATTCAAAAGAAAAGAAACAATACAATATTTGAAAACCGGAATAGGGTAGCGAACGAAAGACGGATTACCTCCCTTCTCTTAAAGGTTGGGCAAAACTACTATAATTTTCGCCCCCAACGTTTTCTCTTAATAATTTGGAAAGGTCAGTATGAAATTTCAGACACAAGATGAATCGTTGTTGAATATGGCTTAATTATCTTTTCCCCTCATAAGTATGTTACGACAAAATTTGCAGTATATATTGTCAATAAACTAGAGCTTAAATTTTAATTCTAAAATCAAGTTTTGGTGATATAGATCTTCAATTGTTTCGGTTCTTATACATCATTGGCTTTCAAATATTCGGCTTTCAGCGTTCCCGATGAAGGTAAATCAAGAAAAGCGCTTCGGACGCATGAAATTCATAACTGTTGTTTTCATTTTTTACAGCATTGGGTCGATACCTCTGCTGGTGGACTATCAGTCCCCGAGGGTATCATCAGCTCAGTAGTCAGTACTTCGGTACTGACATGATTTATAACAAACCTTTCTAAAATTGTCCGTTTATAAATTTTGAAATTATAAAGAAACTAAGATTTCAACTCCCTCAGGCAAAGTTGACCTTAGACGGATTTGGCTATTTATTTCAGGTTCTTTTGGTAATATAGCTCTTTAATTGTTTTGGTTCTTATACATCCCTGACTCTCAAATATTCGGCTTTGAGCATTCCTGATGAAGAATATCCAGAAATCGCTTTGGACGCATGAAATTTATAACGTATTGTTTTCCTTTTTTTTTTAAATGGACAAAAAGTACTAAGAAAAGCATGACTTTATGTATAACCACATGGAGTAAGAACAAATACGGGCTCATGTGTTCACAGATGGGGTAACGGCAAATGTGGGTTTCATGTTTTTGATCTAAATGAATGAAGGAGAAATACTGTTTTTTCTTGTTTTCCAAATTGGAATAAAGACACTTGAAGGCTGCATGTATTCCAATATGAGGTAAGGGCAAATTTGCAATGCAATTGTCTTTTTCCGTGTATCAATAGTTTCGTAAAACCACAAAACACGAAAGAAAATATGTAGTTTAGTTAAGGACATGTACATATAAATGCACAAACACGGCCCATTAGAAGAATGAATAATAATTTAATGAATATATATATTCTGTCATTCCTCATTATTACCTATAACATAAAAGCGAACATAAATGATTTCAAATAAATATACAATATATGTACATTGTCGGAAAATATAAAAAAAAATTGTACGAGGTTTAGAGACAGGACGAAAAGCGAGGCTCGCCGAGCTTTTCTCCTGTTTCGTAGCGAGTACTAATAGATTTTGTATTTCCGAGAATGTACATATATTGTTTTTATCCTGCAATTTACACCTGGCACTTTAAGTTTTAGTTGTTTAAAACCAAATTGATGTCTCTGATTTTTCAAAGAAATCGACATAGTTTAAACGGGGACCGCCAAGAGGACCCCTATATGAACTGTCACACAAAAAGAAAAAATCACATTACCGTTTGCTCAATATTGAAGCCGAGTAACAGGAGACTTTGTTTGTACAAGTACAAGTACAAATAAAGCAAAAAATGATTTGTGTACCTGTTATTTGCCAATAGTTGGCTGATTGCAGGATAAACATGTTTGATCTTCTCTATTTCATCCAGTGTATTGAATTAAAATACAGCTGGTATTATAACGTGTACGCCAACAACAGTACTTTATTTTTATTTCTCTATTTTGATACTTTTTATATATAAATATCAAACAAAAAGAAAAGTTTTCAGGTTGGTACAATAAATAGATAAAACTTTTCTTGTTAAAAAAAGTTTCAACTGTAAAAAGCAATCTAATTTAATAAATTCCAGTAATTTTGAAATTGAAGTGGAGTCTAAACATTATCCAATTAGATCTATTCAGATATATTGGTATCAACTTAGACTACCACTTCGAGTTTGAAATAACCCAATACCTACTAAATTAACGGGAAATTATCAACTTATTTAAGCATTAACAAATCAAACATACTTCAGAAGCTTCAAACATATTCTGAATTAAACTATAAAATTGTCAATGAAATCTATTTATTTTAGATCTCTTTTGTAAAAAGCAGTCAGTTGATGTTCAGTTTGATAACAGTACTTTACAATTTTAGCATTAATAAAACGCCACTCTTTTCACAATATACAACTTTTTTCCTCAACATGAGTAATGTTTAAATACGGAACAAAAGCATATTACATACTAGCTTTCATATTATTAATAGAATAAAGGATGAACAATTAAGCAATTGTGTTTTGAAAAACGGAATTGTAAAGAACATGGGTAAATTAGTAAGCAGTACAAAGTATCTTTTTACACCCACGTAATCCTGGTCATAATAGCAAATTGTAGACTTGTTGTGTCACTTTTGGATGAGTATACGTCAGTATTATATATACATTTACGACACTCCACTACTTTTCGTTTCGAGTGTCCCTGGTTCAGATAAACCATAAATGTGCATTGAACGTAGAACATGCATCCGATTTTATATTGATTTACATTCATTTTATATTGATTTTACATTGATTTTACATTGACTTTTATATAAATTACATTGTTTTTACATTTCATTATAAATACTTGGTAAATACTACCTCTGGTTAACTGTAAGACTATCATTCGAAAGATACTAAATATGTTGGTAAGATTTAATTTGTACATTTGGAAAATTTCTCAGCTGATTTCAAAGCCGTTTAAGGTAGAAATAACTTTATAAGACATCTAAGAACGATTTTTTCCAACCAAAAGAGTGTAAATATATATACCAAACAATATAGAATAAATACACAGAAATTATGCAATAACATGTTTAACGAAGTCATATTCCTCTTGGAAGAATATAACGATGAGAATAAAACGTCAAAACCACCAGCACAATGTAACAAAGAAGGACATCTAGAGGGCAATATGTGTAATAGAAAAGGATTGAGTATTTAAATTCATTATACAGAATCCCTATATGCACTTGTCAAACCCTAAAGCAAAGTGAAATTGTCTTCAACAATCAAGAATATTCTGTTGTGTGTGTTCTTTAAGATAATTCAAGCTCCAAACCGCCCCGCGTCAAGACATATGAATATATTTAACAAAGACAACCAAAACATATTCCTTAAAAAGAGAAATAAGAAAGTCCACAACTTAACACCATTAATTGGGGGCTCTCCCAAATGACTTAATCTGCTAACATAAAGACTACGGCTATCATTCTGATGTCCGTCACTGTATCCTAACGAGCAGATTACACACATCTATGTCATGAGCAAACTCGATATTGAACATTACCCAAGTAAATACAGAAAAGAAAAATGAAAATAAAAAGAAGTGTTTCAAAACTGAACTTAAGCAAACCGATATCAACCATCCATATCTGTTCATTCACAAACCAAAACAAATCATATCTTCGTTAACATACATGTATGAATATTTTAGTATACGTTTCCGTTGATTAATATTTATGAAGTTACTAAGAAGTACATTTTCGATAGATTTTCAAGTCATAGCTTCAGGTCCAAATGCACATTTTTACTTAGTTTATGTATTCGCTTCTAAATATTATTTTAACAGTAACAGTTACAATGTAATGGAATTAATGCCTCGTATTTCAAAATAATTAACGCGTCAATGCATGGTCACATATCCATTCACTATTTTCAATACATATTTCATTGTAATCTACGGTTAGTACGAATGAGTTCACTGTATTCCTCTCAGGTGGATTTCGAATTTACATTATAAATTCGTTGACTTAAGTCTCCTTTGGTTGATGTACATATGTACAGGAAACAGGACACAGAAATTCGTTGAGTTAGTCTCCCGTGGTTGATGCAAATATGTTCAGGAAACAGGACACAGAAATTCGTTGAGTTAGTCTCCCGTGGTTGATGCAAATATGTTCAGGAATCAGGACACAGAAAATCGAAGGAAGTAGAATTCACTGCATTGGTTTTATTATTTGTTGTTATTCTTCGTCATCTAAGGTACTTTGAATTCCAATTAAAAGTCAGTTAAATATTTTTTCTAGCAAGCTGCTGAATATGAAGAGTTTACTAGGATTAGAACAAAAAATAGGATTCCTATAAATGAATCAGAAATAATGCACTTCAAAGTAAAAATAATTAAGTTGTCGACCACAATACATTATTATGTCCATTAACTACCATTTAAAAATAGAAACTCCTTAGAAAGACAGTCATGCTTTCAGTTGAATAAAACGAGAAGAATTATATAAAAAGCGAAAGAAGGACTTAAAGACATTTTTTTGTAAGTTTTCTCCACCGGATTTTTTTCTAAGAAACAAAACAAGAATTTGCAAGAGCACGTATCAGCATGACGATACTTGACTAATCTATTGCAGTGCCATTTCACTGAGCATCTGCAGACAAGGAATTTTCTTATCTTTTCTCTTTTTTCAAACGTAATTCTTAAACCAGACCCATATTTCCATTCTAAAAATGTCTTTATGAATTAGGATAAATACTATTTTGTTTTCTAATTATTGTCACGTTTAAGTAACAGTGGCTGTTTTCCACAGAAACCTGGCCATCGACCACAATATCAATTAGGGTACATAACTATAAATTTAACAAAGACTTGAAGCAATTTGACAATTTTAGGATTTTTCAGCCATTTTTATTGATTCTTTTGTTAGATATTCAAAATTTAGCAACGGCGGAGACATCTTAAGAATATACTATCTTTGAAACACATTAAAGAATCCAACGACGGACTATACAGACCATGTAATGTCTAACGATACACACAGACTACAGATCATGTAATGTCTAACGATACACACAGACTACAGATCATGTGATGCCAAACGATACACACAGACTACAGATCATGTAAT